GAATTCTTGAAGGTAAGAATTTAAAAAGCTTCGTTTGCAGCCATGGTCTTGGTGTAACTCTTGTTCTTGTTCCAATATGATTCAATCGTTTGTGTGTGCATACCAGTGTTCACATCCATGACTGAGTGGTTCACAGTTCTGTGCGTGTATCCAAGACCTTGAATATTGCGGAATGCTCTCCACTCATCACTGTGAATGACTGTCCTTGTTGAACCACTTTGAGTATTATAGGAAGAAGGGTGACAGCATCCCTTGTCTCGACTCCATTTTTGCAATTGAAAGGCTCCTGCTCGTATCGACGATACCGAAAACCAAATAGGAGAGTGTGGTGCACGTCCACGATGATGTTTCGGCTATGGGAGAAGCAAGATTCATCAATTTCTACGGTGATCCCAGGTCCGCCAAGTTTGATTGGATTTGCTTCAAAGTACACAGTACAGACCTCCCTAAAAAGCTGCAGCAGTCAATCAACGTTTTCTCGAAAAGGTTCACCTGACGGCCTGCTGCTGTTTCTCCAATATGCTCACTCCAAAGCTACATAACATGAACCCATTTCTGAAGTGAAATATTAGACTGAGTGGATTTATACTTCAGACAGTCTTTTGTTTGGCATTTCCACAGAAAACCATCCTTGGATCTGATGCATTTTGTCCAATTCCTCCAGTTATCACAAGTATCACACTTCACTTCACGCTTTAAAAGTCTGTTTTTTTTGAAGCCACCGAATAACTTTAGAGGAATCATCACACAACAGTGGTGGGACGACAGTTTGGAAGGTATGCCTGCCATGGTCGACTGATGATTATGACTAAACATTTTTGAGCCCACTTACTGTTATATAGTCCTCCTACCTGACTGGAGGGTCCTGACTCCACTAACCTGAAGATTAACAACCGTGGAGGGTCCTGACCCCACCTGAAGAATTGTCACCCCAGGTGTTGCCACCTGAAGAATCGTCGCCTCAGGATATCCCACCTGAAGAATTGTCGCCCTGCCGGGCTCTAGGGTCAGGAGATCCCTTATCTGTATCACTTATGTTACTTGTATATTATTTGTATATCGAAACCCATTCCCCAATTATGTAACTGTATATTTTCAGCATTCTGACTGCTATGCTCTTTCAATAAACCGTTAATTATTATTATTACCACACCACCTGGTGTCTCCATGACCACGTGAGGTCCTTCATATCAACACACGAGGATGAGTTACTACACCACGTGAACACCATACCACCAGATGTCTCCATGACCACGTGAGGTTCCTCATATCACCCGAGGACGAGTTATTACACCACGTGAACACCTCACCACCTGGTGTCTCCGACCAGCCCGGCCATCAACTGTAAACTATAATAATTTGTATGTTCAATCATTGTTCCTTCTATTTTAGTAATGAAAGCTTTTGTTAAACGGGCCACCCACCCCGTGTGTCTTTGTATGTAATAAGTCATTTTTGTCTAATGTATATTTTCAGCCTCGGCCGCTGACTTTTTCAATAAAACCGTTAATTACATATATATATATATATATATATACATATATATATATATTATCACACACACACATGTAAAGACACACACACAGAGACACACACACAGAGACACACACACACACAGTCACGTAATAATACCATCTGTAATGCTCCCCATAAACCTTTCTCACAACTATTGCAAAAATGACAATGAACTGAGAATAAACTTATAAGAATTGCATGGAACTTAGTCCTCTAATGTGTGTGTGTGTGTGTGTGGGGGGGGATTATCTCTTAAGTCGGGGAGAGACATAAGGGTGAGGTACTGAGGAAGAGGAGGTACTGAGGAAGGGAGGAGGTACTGAGGAAGAGGAGGTACTGAGGAAGAGGAGGTACTGAGGAAGAGGAGGTACTGAGGAAGAGGAGGTACTGAAGAAGAGGAGGTACTGAAGGAAGAGGAGGTACTGAGGAAGAGGAGGTACTGAGGAAGAGGAGGTACTGAGGAAGAGGAGGTACTGAAGAAGAGGAGGTACTGAAGAAGAGGAGGTACTGAGGAAGAGGAGGTACTGAGGAAGAGGAGGTACTGGAGGAAGAGGAGGTACTGAAGAAGAGGAGGTACTGAAGAAGAGGAGGTACTGAGGAAGAGGAGGTACTGAAGAAGAGGAGGTACTGAGGAAGAGGAGGTACTGGAGGAAGAGGAGGTACTGAGGAAGAGGAGGTACTGAGGAAGAGGAGGTACTGGAGGAAGAGGGAGGTACTGAGGAAGAGGAGGTACTGAGGAAGAGGAGGTACTGAAGAAGAGGAGGTACTGAGGAAGAGGAGGTACTGGAGGAAGAGGAGGTACTGAGGAAGAGGAGGTACTGAGGAAGAGAGGTACTGGAGGAAGAGGAGGTACTGAGGAAGAGGAGGTACTGAGGAAGAGGAGGTACTGAGGAAGAGGAGGTACTGAGGAAGAGGAGATGAAGAAGAGGAGGTACTTGAGGAAGAGGAGGCATGAGGAAGAGGGAGGGGAGGGGAGGGGGAGGGGGAAGAGGAGGGGGAAGAGGAGGTACTGAGGAAGAGGAGGTCTGAGGAAGAGGAGGTACTGAGGAAGAGGAGGTAAGGAGCTGAAGAAGAGGGAGGTACTGGAGGAGGGAGGTACTGAGGAAGAGGAGGCACTGAGGAAGAGGGAGGTACTGAGGAAGAGGAGGTACTGAGGAAGAGGAGGTACTGAGGAAGAGGAGGTACTGAAGAAGAGGAGGCTGAGGAGAGGAGGTACTGAGGAAGAGGAGGTACTGAGGAAGAGGAGGTACTGAGGAAGAGGAGGTACTGAGGGAGGGGTTGAGGAAGAGGAGGTACTGAGGAAGAGGGAGGTACTGAGGAAGAGGAGGTACTGAGGGAGGAGGTGAGGAAGGGGAGGTACTGAGGAAGAGGAGGTACTGGAGGAAGAGGAGGTACTGAGGAAGGGAGATGAGGAAGAGGAGGTACTGAGGAAGAGAGGACTGGAGGAAGAGGAGTACTGAGGAAGAGGAGGTGCTGAGGAAGAGGAGGCATTGGAGGAAGAGGAGGTACTGAGGAAGAGGAGGTACTGAGAGAGGGAGGTATGAGGAAGAGAGGTACTGAGGAAGAGGAGGTACTGAGGAAGAGGAGGTACTGAGGAAGAGGAGGTACTGAGGAAGAGGAGGTACTGAGGAAGAGGAGGTGACTGAGGAAGAGGAGGTACTGAGGAAGAGGAAGAGGAGGTACTGAGGAAGAGGAGGTACTGAGAAGAGGAGGTGCTGAGGAAGAGGAGGTACTGAGGAAGAGGAGGTACTGAGGAAGAGGAGGATGAGGAAAGGAGGTATGAGGAAGAGGAGGTACTGAGGAAGAGGAGGCTGAGGAAGAGGGAGGTACTGAGGAAGGGGGGTATGGAGGAGGAGAAGAGGGGTCTGAGGAGAGGGGGGGGGGGAGGAGGATGGGAAGAGGAGGTATGGAGGAGAGAGGTGAGGAGGGGAGGTCGAGGAAGAGAGGTACTGAGGAAGAGGAGGTACTGAGGAAGAGAGGTACTGAGGAAGAGGAGGTGGGCTGAGAAGAGGAGGTACTGAGGAAGAGGAGGTACTGAGGAAGAGGAGGTACTGGAGGAAGAGGAGGTACTGAGGAAGAGGAGGTACTGGAGGAAGGAGGAGGTACTGAAGAAGAGGAGGTACTGAGGAAGAGGAGGTACTGAGGAAGAGGGGGTTACTGAGGAAGAGGAGGTATGAGAAGAGGGGGAGGAGGGTGAGGAAGAGGAGGTACTGAGGAAGAGGAGGCTGGAGGAAGAGGGGGCTGAGGAAGAGGGAGGTATGGAGGAAGAGGAGGTCTGAGGAAGAGGAGGGAGAAGGGGGTACGAAGAAGAGGAGGGTCTGGAGGAAGAGGAGGTACTGGAGGAAGAGGGGGTACTGAGGAAGAGGAGGCGAGGGAAGAGGAGGTACTGAGGAAGAGGAGGTACTGGAGGAAGAGGAGGGTACTGAGGAAGAGGAGGTACTGAGGAAGAGGAGGTACTGAGGAAGAGGAGGTACTGAGGAAGAGGAGGTACTGAGGAAGAGGAGGTACTGGAGGCGGAAGAGGAGGTACTGAGGAAGAGGAGGCTGAGAAGAGGGTTAGGAGGAGGCCTGAGGAAGAGGAGGTTGAGGAAGAGGAGGTATGAGAGAGGGTGGAGGAAGAGGAGGTACTGAGGAAGAGGAGGTGCTGAGGAAGAGGAGGTACTGAGGAAGAGGAGGCTGAGGGAGGGAGATAGGGAGGAGGAGGGAGGAAGGGAGGTCTGAGGAAGAGGGGTACTGGGGAGGGGGGAAGGGAGGAGGAGGAAGAGGAGGTGCTGAGGAAGAGGAGGTACTGAGGAAGAGGAGGTACTGAGGGAGGGAGAAGGAGAGGAGGAAAGGAGGAAGAGGAGGTTGAGAAGAGGAGGTATGAGGAAGAGGGTATGAGGAAGAGGAGGTATGAGGGAGGTACTGAGGAAGAGAGGTGCTGAGGAAGAGGAGGTGAAGAAGAGGAGGTAGAGGAAGAGGAGGTACTGAGGAGGGAGGCTTGAGGAAGAGGAGGTACTGGGGGAGGAAGAGGGAGGAAGTGAGGAAGAGGAGGTACTGAGGAAGAGGAGGTACTGAGGAGGGAGAGTGAGGAAGAGGAGGTGCTGGAGGAAGAGGAGGTACTGAGGAAGAGGAGGTACTGAGGAGGGAGAGGAGAAGAGGAGGAAGGAGGAAGAGGGAGGCTGAGAAGAGGAGGTGAGGAAGAGGAGGTACTGAGGAAGAGGAGGTACTGAGGGGAGGTACTGGAAGGGAGGGGAGGGGGAGGGGGGGAGGTATGAGAAGAGGAGGTACTGAGGAAGGGAGGGAGGAAGAGGAGGGAGAAGGGAGGTACTGGAAGCAAAGTACTATGAGGTCAAGGTACCCCAAAAGAGTAGGACTGGAGGCAAGGTGAAAGAAAGGTACTGAGGGCAAGGTATTTTAAAGAAGGTACTGGAGGAAGGCACTCCAGAAGAAGGACTTGGAGGGAAGGTACAGGCTGAGGGCAAGGTACTCCTACAAGAAAGGTACTCAGAGGGCAAGGTACTCCTTAAAGATAGGTACTCTGAGGTCAAGGCACTCCCAGAAGATAGGTACTCTGAGGGTAAGGTACTCCCAGAAGATAGGTACTCTGAGGGCAAGGTACTCCTTGAAGATAGGTACTCTGAGGTCAAGGTACTCCAAGAAGATAGGTACTCTGAGGGCAAGGTACTCCTTGAAGATAGGTACTCTGAGGTCAAGGTACTCCAAGAAGATAGGTACTCTGAGGACAAGGTACTCCTTCGAGATAGGTACTCTGAGGACAAGGTACTCCTTGGAGATAGGTACTCTGAGGGCAAGGTACTCCCGAAGAAAGGTACTCTGAGGGCAAGGTACTCCCAGCAGAGAGGTTACTCCAACGAGGTACAGTACATCGACCAGAAATGTCCTCCAGGTAGGTAGTTCAACCAGGTGGCGTCCAAGAGAAAGGTAGGCTGGCTATTCTGGAAAGCATATAGTCTGGGAAGGAAAGAAGGAAGGAAGGTAGGAAGGAAGGAAGGAAGGAAGGAAGGAAGGAAGGAAGGAAGGAAGGAAGGAAGGAAGGAAGGAAGGAAGGAAGGAAGGAAGGAAGGAAGGAAGGAAGGAAGGAAGGAAGGAGGGGGGGTGTATTGTGTAGAAAGTTCACCTCACAACAATCACACTAATGGCTGGATGTACTTACGTTTCTACTGCTTATTGTTGGCTGTTTCTGCGAGACTGCCGCGTCATTGTTGTTCTGGAAGGAGGAAGGGAAAAGGTCGTCATCTTTGGGTAGGTTATCTTTAGGTTATCTTTTACGTTCGTTTTGTTTTGTTTTCCTTATCACTCTGTCATCTTGATTATCACAATGAGTTATTAAAGGAAAGACAAACCTGACTTCTGGTTAAGACTATTTAATCCAAGATATGTGTGTGTGTGTGTGTGTGTGTGTGTGTGTGTGTGTGTGTGTGTGTGTGTGTGTGGTGATATAACAAGTGAGAGAGACACATAACAGTTGTAAACCTTAAATGTATCACAATACATAACACAGTAACACCACCCCTGACACATCTGAGGTCTTCACACACCACATGTACTGTACACAAACTACTGGGAAGGAGCTGGTTGACAATGTACCAGGAGGGGTATACACACATTAATACCGAACTATATACCGTACTGTATTCTTGCTAGTTAGGGTATTACATGTGAGACTGTCTTGATGAGAGGGTTTAACAGATTTCTGAGAAAAGGGATACTACCGGGGACAGTGTCTGGGTACTACCGGGGACAGTGTCTGGGTACTACCAAGAGCAGTGTCTCCTGTACTACCGGGGACAGTGTCTAGGTATTACCGGGGACAGTGTTTGGTTACTACAGGGGACAGTGTCTGAATACTACCGGGGACAGTGTCTGGGTATTACCGGGGACAGTGTCTGCTACTGCCGGATATGTTACCTGGGTACTACCGGAAACAATGTCTGGGTATTACCGGGGACAGTGCCTGGTTACTACCGGGGACAATGTCTAGGTACTACCGTGGTCTGTGTACTACCGAAGACAGTGTCTGGGTACTGCCGTGGTTTGTGTACTACCGGGGACAGTGTCTGGGTGCTACTGGGGACTATGTATGGGTATATGGGTACTAACAGAGACAGTGTCTGAATATTACCAGGTACAGTGTCCTGGTACTATTGGCGACAGTACCAGCAATTACAATAATACTTGAACAAATAAAACATGACACTTCCTAACCACAGTGAGGGCCACCGGGCACTACTGGGGCACTACCGGGGAACTACTGGGGCACTACCGGGGCACTACTGGGAACCACTGGGGCTCACTACTGGGGCAACATACTGGGGCGCTACCAGGGCACTACTGGGGCACTACCAGGCACACTGGGGGGGGGCACTACTGGGGCACTGGCCGGGGCTACAACTGAGTGGTAGAGGGAGTGAGGGTGGGATAGAGGGGCACAAGTTGTTTGGTGAAGGAGGAAGGTGGTTGGTGGTGAGGGGGGAGGGGATGTTGGTGGTGAGGGGGGTGTGATGTTGGTGGTGAGGGGGAGTGTGTGTGATGTTGGTGGTGGGGAGGAGGTGTGATGTTGGTTGTGAGGAGGAGGTGTGTGATGTTGGTGGTGTGGGGGAGGGAGGTGTGATGTTGGTGGTGAGGGGGGATGTGGTGATGGTGGGAGGGGGAGGGAGGTGTGTGATGGTGTGGGGGAGGTGTGGATGCTGGTGGGGGGGGAGGTGGTGTGATGTTGGTGGTGAGGGGGAGTGTGTGTGATGTTGGTGGTGAGGGGTGGATGTTGTGGTGAGGGTGTGGTGTGATGTGGTGAGGGGGGAGGGAGGTGTGATGTTGGTGAGGGGAGGTGTGTGATGTTGGTGGTGAGGGGGGTGATGTGGTGGTGGGAGGGTGTGATGTTGGTGGCGATGGTGTGATGTTGGTGGTGTGGGGGGAGGTGTGATGTTGGTGAGGGGAGGTGTGTGATGTTGGTGGTGAGGGGGTGTGATGTTGGTGGTGAGGGGTGTGTGTGATGTTGGTGGTGGGGGTGGTGGTTGGTGATGTTGGTGGATGTTGGGGTGTGGGGGGGTGAGGTGTGTGATGTTGGTGGTGAGGGGGGGTGGTGTGTGATGTTGGTGGTGAGGTGGATGTTGGTGGTGAGGTGGGGAGGGAGTGTGGTGTGAGGGGAGGGAGGTGTGGATGTTGGTGGAGAGGGAGGTGTGTGGATGTTGGTGGGAGGGGAGGGTGTGATGTTGGTGGTGAGGGGAGGGAGGTGTGTGGATGTTGGTGAGGGGGGAGGGAGGTGTGTGATGTTGGTGGTGAGGGGGGGTGGGATGTTGGTGGTGGGGGGGAGGGAGGTGTGGATGTGGTGTGTGGTGATGTTGTTGGTGAGGGGGGGGTGTGATGGTGAGGGGAAGAGGTGTGTGTGGTGGTAGAGGTGTGTGTGGTGATGGTGGTGAGGGGGTGGTGTGTGATGTTGGTGGTGAGGTTGGGTGGGGGAGGAGGGTGTGATGTTGGTGGTGAGGGGGGGAGGAGGTGTGTGAGTTGGTGGTGAGGGGAGGAGGGTGGTGGGGGGAGGTGTGTGATGTTGGTGGGAAGGGAGATGGGTGAGGGGGAGGTGTGTGATGTTGATGTGAGGAGGGGGGGAGGTCAGGATGTTGGTGGTGAGGGGAGGGAGGTGTGTGATGTTGGTGAGGAGGGAGGTGTGTGGTGATGGTGGTGGGGGTAGGGAGGGTTTGGATGTTGGTGGTGAGGGGGGGGAGGTGTGTGATGTGGTGGTGGAGGTGTGTGATGGTGAGGAGATAGGGAGGTTTGTGATGTGGTGGTGGTGATGGGGTGAGGAGGGAGGTGTGTGGTGATGGTGGTGGTAGGAGGGTGAGAGGGGGAGGTGTGTGGATGTTGGTGGTGAGGGGGATGGGTGTTGGTGGTGGTGGGGGAGGTGTGGGAGGTGTTGATGTGGTGAGGGGAGCAAAGATGTTGGTGGTGAGGGGGAGGCCGGGAGGGAGAGGAGGGAGGGAAGGGGGAAGGACAGGACGGAGGGCAGGGGAGTGAGGGAAGGAGATAAGGGAGGAGGGAGGAGGAAAGCAAAAGCCGGAAGATGGTTGTTTGAGGACTTTGAGGAGGTGGACTTCAAACAGGGAACAAGGTGGTGGGGTGAGGGGGTGATGGAGGGGGGGCTGGAGTGGAGGGAAGAGGAGTTATGGGAGAGGGGTAGGTGCGGGGGGGGGGCAACCTCGTCACCGGTCTGAAAAAGTAACAACGTCACAAAAGGTTTCTAGGGAATGAACCCCAGGACGTTAAGATTTATGAATCCCTGGTGAAGCCTTCGTGGAGGGGGGGGGGGCGACACTCTGGGATGGGCGACTTTGGGAATATGGACTCTACTTTAGGGAGGAGGCAACTCTTACTCTGGGGGTGCTCGGGGTTGTACTTTACTCGGGGTACTATAATTTGTGGACTACTGGGAGTACAGACAAGAACTTAACAAAGTAAGACTTCAAAGCGGCTAACACCTAGCAGTGGTCGGGAAATGGAGCACACATATACAAAAGGAATAATTGATCTTAAAATTGAAGTAACATCCAAAATTAAAGACAATGAAACGGATGATCGTAGGAAGACTTTTGTATTCATATAAAAGTTCTTCAGAAAAAGTAAAAGCACTAAGTAGGGAGTTTATCATAGCCTGGATCAATAGGTACAGTATTCCTTAGGCATTATGTATCGCTATAGAAAGTGAGTCAAGTAAGCACCAGGTATAACAAGTGTCACTGGGCCTCACCCAGGTACTTGTGGACCAGGCGTACAAGTGGTTCTCGGTGTATTATTTTTGTTGGGGTTTATTTCTTTACTTGTGGTGTTTTGGGGGAACAGCATAACAGAGATCTCGACTGTTCGGGTGGTGCAGGAAAACCCGCGTCCCTCCAGGCACTACAACAAGACACACACACGCTGTAGTGTTACTAAAGGCAGCAATGAACAGCTCCAGTGGTACTGTTCCTCTACAATTTCTCACAGATACATTTCAAAGTCTGGATGATATAATTACACATATTACGTTACTAGCCGAGCAGTTCATGCAACAAGCAATTTGAAAATTAGCAGAGCAGAGTGAAGTGCAACATGCAAGGACGATAACAAGATAATGTGGTCATGGACTGAGAGGAAGAGAGAGAATCATGCAATCTGGTCCATCCTGGTGGATGAGTCATCATGAGGAGGAACAAGACAACAAAGCACGGTCGCTCTCACGGACGCCACGACCAAGGACACATTGCTTGTACAGGGCACTGACGCCACCAACACACCCAGGGTAATGTCATGCGCATACCGGAGGACGCCGCCAGGCAGGACAAGGGTCAGGGTCAGGTCATGCGAGCACGGAGGGTGGTGGCGTCGGGTCAGCCGGCGCTCCTGACCTCTTTCTCGATGTGTAAGGCTGTGTGCCATATGGTGAAGGCCAAGCGGTGCAGTACCCCAGCGTCCATCCTGGGGTCAGACCGCGCTCGCCGGCGTCGCTGACGGACGTTATTGCTACCTTCAGATCTCACCGAGGATCCTAGTGAATCCCACGAAGATCTGCAGGATGATCCTAGCGAGTTCCATGAGGCTGAAGGAGCGACACGACCAATCTGTGCCGCCCGAGGCAGAGTCGCCGGGGGGGACTCTGGTGTGGAGCTGATCAGTGAAGGTATAGAGGAGTAAACTTCCTCGTTGTCTGGCCGGTGTTGTCGTGGCCAGGTCGGCGCCGACTGCGTCAACAGGTTCTCCGGGCTAGGGCTGGGGCTGGTGCTGCTCCCCCCAGGGTACGACATCCTCTGGTTAGAGGCTGACGATACTCGAGGAGTTCGAGCGGGAAGGACGGGAGGGGAGACCACAGACCCGGGAGACATCAGTGGGTTGTGGGATCCTACGGGTCCTGTGGTGAGGCGAGGCGGAGGTAGAGGGGGAGGAGCGTCGTCCACACGCCGGCGGTACCTAAGAGGTGCTGGCAGAGGTGGAACTGGGCGGGAGTAAGATGCTTCACTCACGCTCTGATACACAGGATCGTCAGTAGTCGTCAGGCTGGAGTAGATCTCATCCTCGCTGGGTCCTCCACTACGACCCTCTTCACTTGGGTATTCCAGACTTGAATATATTCCGTCGTCGTCCCCAGGCGTCCAGCGGAACTGGGGAGGCGCCGGAGGGTCTCGTCGGGCTCCTCGACGTGGAAGTGATTGGTATTTACCGTCGTTCTCCTTCTCTCTTCTCTTCGGCAGCGACTGGTACTTGGGCTCACCTTTAGAGCCTTTTTTCGATGAAGACTGAGATTTTGATTCATTGTCTCGCTCTCTGAAGGTTCGTTTTGTTGGCGAGTGATACTTGTCTCCCTTGATAGTTCTCTTAGGCCCCGCCAAGGCCTTAGCATCCTGTTCCAGTTTCCTTTGTTGCAGCAGCTGGTAATTCGACTTCACATCTTGGATCATCTGCGGAGTCACAGCCTGGTAGACCGGATCGGCATCCAGGGCGTCGGGAGACGACTGATAAAGAGGCTCACTGGCGCTCATCTTTGGTGGTGAAGACTGGTACAAGGGTTCGGCTTCATCAGCCTTCAGAGGTGACATCGGTGAAGGCATCGTATGATACAGAGGGTCACTCTCACTTACTGTTGGAGGGATGGGCTGGAACGATGGCTCAGGCATTTTTATCTTAGGAGGAATTCCTTCATATAGAGGTATAACCCCTGGCACCTTGGCGGGAACTGGCTCAGTTCCTGTTAACTTCGCTGGGATACTCTCATAGAGCGGTATGTTACCTACCACTTTGGGGACCTGTACTTGGTGCAACGGGTCGCTTTGGTACACCTTAGGAGGTATGGGTTGATAGAGGAGATCAGTGGTGCGTGGTATTGGAGGCGCCGTCGTGTAAGGAACGTCACTTCCATCACTTCCATGGGTTCTTGGAGGAAGGGACTGTAGCTTTGGCTGACTCTGCACCACATGATGATAGTCGCCACTGACAGGAGGCAGAGGGTGGCTCTCACCATCGGGTTTCCTAAGAGGCATAGGTGTATACACCTGTTCATAATTGGGTTTTATTGTTGGAATTGGTCGGAACTCGTAGTCATACATGGGTACCGGTGGCTGGAATGAGGTCTCGGATTCATGTTTGATTGTAGGTATAGGTTGGAACTCGTAGTCGGACCCTCTTGGGGGAAGAGATTGATACTTTCCTTCCCCATCAGGTCGTCTTGGAGGTAATGGTTGATACTTGGCCTCGACCTCAGGTCGTCTTGGAGGAAGAGGCTGATACTTGGACTCGACTTCAGGACGTCTTGGAGGAAGTGGCTGATACTTGGACTCGACTTCAGGTCGTCTTGGAGGAAGTGGCTGATATTTGGCCTCGACTTCAGGTCGTCTTGGAGGAAGTGGCTGATACTTGGCCTCGACCTCGGGTCGTCTTGGAGGAAGTGGCTGATACTTGGCCTCGATCTCGGGTCGTCTTGGAGGAAGTGGCTGATACTTGGCCTCGACGTCGGGTCGTCTTGGAGGAAGTGGCTGATACTTGGGCTCGACCTCGGGTCGTCTTGGAGGAAGTGGCTGATACTTGGCCTCGACCTCGGGTCGTCTTGGAGGAAGTGGCTGATACTTGGCCTCGACTTCAGGTCGTCTTGGAGGAAGTGGCTGATACTTGGCCTCCCCGTCGGGTCTCCTCGGCGGCAGCTGTTGATACTTGGGCTCGATATCAGGCCTTGGCGGTAAAGGCTGGTACTTGGGCTCAATATCGGGTCTTCTTGGTAGGTGTTGTTGGTACATCTCAGCCTCAGGGGGTGAGGGGTGGTACCTGGCCTCTCCGTTGGGGTGTATGGGTGGTGGCGGCGGCTGGTACTTGCACTCCCCGTCAGGATGTCTCGGCGGCAGCTGTTGGTACTTGGGTTCGATATCGGGTCTTGGTGGTAAAGGCTGGTACTTGGGCTCAATATCGGGTCTTGGTGGCAATGGCTGATATTTAGGTTCAATATCGGGCCTTGGCGGTAGTGGTTGATATTTAGGTTCGATATCGGGTCTCGGTGGTAAGGGTTGGTATTTGGGTTCAATATCCGGCCTGGGTGGTAGCGACTGGTATCGGGGCTCGATATCGGGCCTCGGGGGTAATGGCTGGTATCTGGGATCAGGATCTGGTCGCCTAAGTGGTAACTGTGTGTATTTCGGTTCAATATCTGGCCTAGGTGGCAGTGGTTGGTATTTAGGTTCGATATCCGGCCGTGGTGGGGCCTGTTGGTATCGAGGCTCGATATCGGGTCTTCTGGGTGGAAGCTGCTGGTATTTGGGCTCGATATCGGGTCTCCTAGGAGGCAACGGCTGATATTTGGGATCGATATCAAACCTTCTCGGTGGAGGGTGTTGGTACCGTGGTTCAATATCGGGCCTCGGTGGAGGGATGTAATGGTATCTTTGGTGATCAGCATCGTGCCTCTTGGGAGGTATCGTCTGATACCTGGGGCCGGTATCATACCTCTTGGGTGGTGGGAGTGGCTGGTACCTTAAGTCGATGCCAAATTTCTTAGGTGGTACGGTGGGGTATCTTTGCTCCATGTCACGTCTCTTTGGGGGCACGGTTTGGTATTTCGCCTCCGCCTCATACCTCGGCGGTGGTAGTGGGTAGTATCGCAAGTCAAGTTCTTCTCTCTTTGGGGGTAGCGCTTGGTACTTGGGATCTATATCGTACGCCCTTGGGGGTGGTACCGCATGTTGGTATCTGGAGTGATCTGGATCATGTCTCTTCTGGGGGAAGGTCTGATACTTAAGGTCCACTTCAGGTCGCTTCGGGGGCAACATTTCGTATTTGGGATCAATATCGTACTTCTTCGGGGGCGGCGGCGGCGGCTGGTACTTGAGGTCGGCGGTGTTCCTCCTCTTTGGTGACAGAGATTGATGGAAGCTACACTCAGGGTCACGCCTTTTGGGGGACCCGGGAAGGTGACCTGGCCCCATATCTCGTTTTTTCGGTGAGGAGGGAAGAGCTCCTGGCCCCACGTCGCGTCTCTTGGGCGACGATGATTGATGGCTTGATTCGGTGCTGCGTCTCTTAGGGGACGATGGATGATGTGAGGACGACTCTGCATCACGTCTTTTGGGAAATGTTTGATACCTGGGCTCTGTATTGTGTCTCTTCGGCAGCGACTGGTACTTCGGATCTCCCTCACTCTTCCTGCTCACCGCCTGGTATCTCGCCTCTCCCTCGTGTCTTCTCGGAAGTGACCGGAATTTTGGCTCTGTGTCGTGTCTTTTCGCCGAGCTCTGATTCTTAGAATCTCCGTCTTTGGGAGATCGCTTGGAAGCCTGATCCTTGGAAGGCCGTCGAGGCAATGACTGATAGTCAGGGTCCCTCCGGCGGGGTTTGCCCTCCCCATCTCTACGCTTAGTCGATGATTTGAGCTTTGGTTCTCCCACGCTAGATGACGTCGTCGGTGGTATCGCGTCTTTCGTCCCACTTTTACTACGGGGCAGAGAGCCAATTGTTATTGGGAGGGATGTGATGGTTTCGCCGGTATTCCCTTCACTCAAGTTTCTCCGGTGTGATTTAGGGAGTGCCGGGGAGTTGATCCCTAACTGCTCTGCCGCTGTTGGGCCTGAAGATCCCGGTGGGGTTGTCCTGGCCAACAAGTGGAACCCCACACCCAGGGCCCTGCTGAGGTGGCCAGGGCGGTTGTGTCTGGGAAGGGAGTAAAACCCAGACACGGGTCTACTGGCTGCCGGTGGTGGCTGGTATACTGGTAGTGAGGCATGAGCTGATGTAGGGGGCGCCGCTACGCGTGCTGCCCCACAAGTGGGTATCCCAGCAGAAGGAGCGCCAAAAGCAATTGCCCCAAGAGTTGTCCCTCCTGCAGTAGTTGGTACCAGACTAGGTTGTGTATATCCTGCTGATGTTACCTCCGCTGCAGTGGAGGCAGGAGGTAACCCTGTTTTACCGGAGTTCCTTCCGTTGTTGTTATTGTTATTATTATTGTTGTTATTAAAGATGCTAAGTGTAGCACTGGGGAAACCGGCGAAGCTGTTCTGTCGACGGAACACCCTCGGGACGGCCCGACGGGGGGGCTGAGCCGGTGGTGGTTGGCTCATCACGCCCCTGGGAGGCTACACTTCCTCCAACACAACTTCACCAATACTCCTTCAGAGAGGCTGTTTATCCACTTCAACCAGCCTGCAGCCCTCGGCCTTACTCCTACCAGCTGAGCCGTTTAACAGCCTCAACAAACAAATGATACGCGTCCTTACGCAGACACGGGAACAAAAACCAAGACAAATCACAGCCTCCTTCTACCCTCCTCCATCAATTAATCATGCGAAGCTTTGAACTAATGGGGAAGTAATGATCGCCACGAGACCTGTCATTTAAATAGCACCTCCACTTGTCACTGACTGACGCCGAGCTAAAGACTCATCGCCACACTCGCCAATCAACCAACCTCCACCAACACAACTGTCACACGCAAATACTAAATAATTAAAGAGCCTAAACACTAATGAATAAAGGACTTCTTAGCCTGTGACTTCAATAATACCCTTTGTCGGCCAATAAGATGACCAGAGATTATAAAGGAAGTGTTTTATCAGTGAGCCTATACAATATATATATGTGTGTGTGTAAATATATATATGTATATGACCTACAACGATTGTGAGTCGATGAAGTGAGCAGCACCAGGAGTCAACCAATGATCTTACAGTCCAAGCTCGGTAAGTTCACTGAGAGGACCGACCAATGAGTGACGAGTTCACGTCTTGGAAGTAAGTATTATGGGGGGATGGGGGTCACCTTATTACCAAAGGTGTCTGAACACACTAAATGAGCGAGTTTAAGGGGGTAGGAGCTTACAAGAACGCGCATCCACCCCCTCGTACTTACAAAAAATGCAACCACGAACACTTACAAGACGCAGCCACCACCTTACAAAATATACGACCACAGTATAAGGTACAAAAACTCAACTACTGTACGTATAATTAAGAAAACGTAACCACGTAATATTCATAACTACACTTACAAAAACGTATCTCTTTTTTTTTTTAGTGAATCACCGCGAAATCAAACGAGTCTTTTTATTGTTATAATTACACTCTGACGAACAACAACTTACAATTACAAAAAACAATAAGATTTGGATTGTCTAAATATTACAAATGTCGTCCTTGAAGGGTGAGACGTGACCAGGGGAGCGTGTAGCAGCTTCTTCTCTTCTGCCGGACCCTAAACCACATCTACCACCTCTTTATTAAGCTCGTTCAACATTAACTAGTCATCAGTATTGAGCGGGAATGACTGGTGACGTGAGCAGCCTTGAAGATATGTGACATCATCATCATCATCGTTGTCGTCACACACAAACACCCCCAAAATTGATTGTTTCGACGAAGGATCAAAACCTCTTCCTTCAACACTACTAACAGTATGACAAACAAACGTAGAAAATGACGATACAAAACACAGACTACCGTTTTTTACCTAATATACGTTGTTGAAATATCAAAATCTACTTCATGGTGAGCTATTATTTACTTGTTTAGCGTTTTATTTCTCTTTACTTCTGGCGTTATTTATGAGTCTCGTGATTGTAAAACTATTATGCAACGTCATTAACGTACTGACTACTACTGCAGGTCATCAACTACACGACTCATCACCGCTACCACCACCAGCACGGCGTCGTAAAGGCACATTGATCTACGATCTCACCCAACTCGAGTCTTCCTCCTAACGCGACTCGGGTCCATGATTGATGAGAAATGTGCATGAACACTCGTCGCCGTGGCTGTTCCTTGCTGGGGGTCCTCTGGCACGCCACACCGGTCAACTAGCTGCACCAGCCACCACCCCCACCACCGCCACCAGCAGCAGCAGCAGCAACAGCAGCAACAACAGCAGTAGTAGTAACAGCGGCAGCAGCGGTACAGTATAGAGGAGGGTGATGCAGCTGCCGAGGACTGTCTACTTCCATCGTCTGTTGTGGGATTCTACGCCATTACATGCCGATGGCGTCTTCACTACTGACAACAGCGACGAAGAAGGGGGAGGAGGAGGTGGTAGTGGTTGTGGACAGGAAGCTTCTGAGAGGAGGGGGATGGCAGCCATCTGGTAGCGAGCCTCTGCCAGAGGTGGTAGATGTTGGGGGTGTCTGGTGATGAAGTCTGCTGGATGGTGGTGCTGGCGCTCCTGACCCCTTAGATATCCTGATGCTTAGGTGCTGCTGCTGCTGCCCGGACCTGGCGGTATTGGTTCCTCGTGATGCTGGTATCTAGTGATACCAGACTGTGGTATTATTTGTTTCTGAGGAACGGCGGTAGGTTGGTGTTATCCTGGTACTTTAGTGGTGGGGTGCCTGGTACCTGGTGGCGAGAATACTGGGTACTGGTACTAACTCAAGCTGTCATCTGCGGCACCTGGGAGCCCCGTACTCACTTCCTGTACCCGTGGCCTCCTCCCACACTTCACTTCTCTCCACCTCGTTTCAAGACCTGACTATATTTAAAACAATGCGGATGTATTTTCTTTTACTTCCAGCTCTTACTTTCTTCAGCGGAAGACACAAGTAGGAGTTAGGGAGCCTATCGTAAACGCACTAATTTCCCTTCTCCTTTACTTCACTTCACACTCACACTTCCCGACAGCCCCAGACCTCGACACGGGGACGTCCCCCTCTCTGTCCAAAAACACACCGGGTCAAACCAAACTCAAAACTGGGGTCAGTGGGCTGGGAAGAGGTCAAAGAAAATGTCAGAAGGCCAAGGCTGGTGGCGGAAGGTCCACGCACTGGCACAGACGAGGTCCGCGGCGGCACTGGCACTGTGAGGGAAGGAGGGAGGGAGGGTGAGGAGGAGGCACCAACACCGCCGCCACGACCAGGCATCCTCCACCTCCACCACCACTACAACTCTCCCTTACCCCCAGACGCGCGCACATCGATCCCAACCACACACACACACACACACACACACACACACACACCACACATCTCACTCTCTCTCTCTCTCTCTCTCTCTCTCTCTCTCTCTCTCTCTCTCACCTCCGGAGTATGGAGTTCTCTCACTTTCGGGGTATGAAATTTTCTCACTGCCTCATTCACTTTCCTTCACGATCACCAGGTCACTTTCCCTCGCTAGTCCAGGTCACTTAACTAGATCACTTTCCTTCACTAATACTTGGCTACTTTCTTTAGTAGTACTTGGTCACATACTTCACTGGTACTTGGCTATTTTTCTTCACTCGCAGATCGTCATTTTCCTTCACTAGTACCTTGTTACTTTTCTTCACCAGTACTTGGTTACTTTCCTTCACTTGTACTTGGTTACTTTCCTTCACTAGTATCTGGGCACTTTCTTTCAATAGTACTTGGTTACTTTCCTTCACTTGCATTTGGTTACTTTCCTTCACTAGTACCTGGTCACTTTCCTTCACTAGTATTTGGTCACTTTCCTTCACAAGTATTTGGTCCTTCCTTCACTAGTACTTGGTCACTTTCCTTCACTACTATTTGGTCTACTTTCCTACTGTCATTTGGTCACTTTCCTTCACTAGTATTTGGTTACTCTTCTTGTTCCTTCACTACTATTTGGTCACTTTCCTTCACTACTATTTGGTCACTTTCCTTCACTACTATTTGGTCACTTTCTTCACTACTATTTGGTCCTTTCCTTCACTAGTACCTGGTCACTTTCCTTCACTAATTACCTGGTCACTTTCCTTCCACTAGTACCTGGTTCCTTTCCTTCACTATCTGGTTTCTTTTACCTTGACTTTTCTTCCTATATTTGGTCACTTTCCTTCACAACTATTTGGTCACTTTCCTCCACTAATATTTGGTCACTTTCCTACACTAATATTTGGTCACTTTCCTTCACTACTATTTGGTCACTTTCCTTCACCTAGTACTTGGTCATTAAACTGTCTAAGCGTTGTTGATTTCTTCATAATTAACAACGAAGTTATCATTATTATTATTATTATTATTATTATTATTGTGTGTATTATTATTGTGTATTATTATTTGTGTGTGTGTGTGTGTGTGTGTATTATTATTATTATTATTTCCCTATCTGCGTTTGCTTCACTAGGTCTTATTCTCTTGTCTTGATGTGTCTACTTGGTATGCTTCCCACTGCGGCTGTCTGTGTATTCATGATTTTTAGGTCTAGGTAATTCTGAAGTTTTACTCTCTCTCTCTCTCTCTCTCTCTCTCTCTCTCTCTCTCTCTCTCTCTCTCTCTCTCTCTCTCTCTCTCTCTCTCTCTCTCTCCTGGGTAGCAAAGGAAGAGATTTAAGCTTCAAATCTCCGAGAGAATCAATATAGGTGAGTGTAAGACAAGGTAGCGACATCCACCTAGTCCCCTAGCAGTCACGGCCGCCTCCCCTGGCTTCACCTTACTTTTCCTAGCTTCACCTACCCTCCCCTGACCTTTCCCTCACTTCACCTTACCTTCTCCTACTACCCTTACCTGGCTTCACCTACCCTCCACTAACCTTCTTCTTACCTTTCCTGGCTTCACCTACCCTCCCTAACCTTCCTTGCTTACCTTTCCTGACTTCACCTACCCTCCCCTAACCTTTCCCCTTGCTTCACCTTACCTTTCCTGACTTCACCTACCTCCCTAATCCTCCCCTGGCTTCTAAATGCATCCCTTATTCTCACCTAACCCCTCGTTTCCTGATACCATTTTATATTCGACAGTCACCTGCCCTTACACTCACCCTTATACACTTCATCAGCGTATCCAAATTCTTCTCTATACTCGCTGTCAACACACTCATCCTTATACTCTACCTACCACCTGCCAGTACACCATCCTTACTCCCTAATACTCATCAAAATCTGTTCAGAACCTATACTGATGTTTGTTAAAACCTTTATACTTGTTCTTCACCAACACCCCTATTCTCTTCACCAACACCCTTATATCTCCTGCCTTCTTATTCTCTTCACCCACTTCTTCCCTTATTCTTTTCTCCATACCTTTACTTCCATATACTCTTCTCCAACACCCTTATACTCTTCTCCAACTCCTTACACTCTTTTCCAACACCCTTTATACTCTTTCCATCCCTTATTCTAGTTCCACCAACACCCTTATACTCCTTACAGCACCCTTATACCTCTCTCTTCCAACACCCTTATCTTCTCTTCACACACTTACACTCTTTTCAACACCCTTCTACTCTTCACCAACATCCTTATACTCTTCACCAATACCCTTACCTTTCTCTTCAACACCCTTATACTTTTCACCAACACCCTTATACTTTTCACCACACATATACTCTTTTCCAACACCCTTTTACTCTTCTCCAACTGCCTTACCTCTTTTTCCTTCTACCTTCCTACTCCTCATGCACCCAACACCCCTTATACTCTTCACCAACACCCTTATACTCTTCACCAGCGCTTTTATATACTCTTCTCCAGCTGCGCACTCTTTTCCAGCAACACCCTTACTCTACAACGCTTTTATATACTCTTTACCAATGTACTGCTGCATATACTTTCACAACACCATACTTTTCACCGCACCCTTATACTCTTTCACAACACCCTTATACCTTTCACCAACACCATATACTCTTCACCAACACCCTTATACTTTCTTACCAACACCGCCACTTATTCTTCACCAACACCCTTATACTCTTCTCCAGCACACCTCTTCTCCACGCCCTCTACTCTTTTGCTTATACTCTTCAACAACCTGCCATTATACTCTTCACCAATACATATACCTTTCCTGCTTTTAACTTTTATATATACACCTTTCACTCTTACCCATGCATATACTCTTTTTCAACACCCTTTTACTCTTCACAACTTTGCCTTACTCTTTTCCAACACCTTATACTCTTCCTACATCCTTATACTCTTCACCAACGCCCTTATATTGTCTTCACTTACACCTATTCCAACTCTTCAATAGCACTTAACACCCTTATACTCTTCACCAACACCCTTATACTCTTCACAACACCCTTATACTCTTCACCAACATCCTTATACTCTTCACCAACACCCTTATACTCTTCACCAACACCATATATATTCACAACACCCTTATACTCTTCAGCATCCTTATGCTCTTCTGTACATATACTCTTCTGCTTTCCCTTACTCTTTCACCAACTTACCCTTATATACTCTTCTGTACCCTTATACTCTTCACCCAACATATACTCTTCACCAGCTTGCCTTATATAACCAACTTGCCCTTATATCTTCACCAACATCCTTATACTCTTCACCAACATCTTATACTCTTCACCAACATCCTTTATATATTTTAACACCTTATATACTACCAACATCCTTATACTCTTCACCAACACCTTATATTCTACAAAACAGCCTCGTCTATACTAAAACAAAGTCAAAGTGTATTCCTAAAACTGAAGTCCTCGTTCATACTAGAAAAAATAAACAGACTTCTGTAAATTGCAAAACAAAAACCCTCGTTCATACTAGATTAAAACCTGAGC